TTTTTGTGGGACTCACGTGCAAAGCACGTGTCTAGGACTTGTAGTAATACTACAGAAATAGAAATTTAACAACTGTAATAATACCTCAATCTTGAATTAGTTGGATTTACTTTATAAAATCTCAACATCAATTTTATTTTATCTCTACCATTTTTCGCAATACTTAATAATTTGTAGTACACCTTCAAACAAAAATAAGAGTCAGTTGAGAAACAAATCAATGAAGATGCCAGATGGCTAAAAAAATGAACTTTTGAAAGTTGCTCTCCATAGCAGCAACAATAGCAACAACATCAAGGTGGGGAATATTAATCCCCCATAACCAAAGGGGGAAGAAGCTACCGTTGTGGTGCACAAAAGAGAACATTTTCGTAGAAGCAACGTAAACAATGAGAAGAAGAGGCAGAGAGCACAAATCAGAAAATCCTATCATTTAATGTTCTTTTATATTCACCTGGTCTAACCACTTATAAGCCGACCAACTCTTTTTTGGTATATTTATGTGTGGATCCGTTTAGGAGCTAATTTTTATTAAATAAAATGGACTGTGAGTCCAGATTTAAACTTACAAACGGGATATCGGTAGTTTTCAATGTCAATTGTGGTTTTCGATCCATTCCACAACTATGCTTGATTGGTTTGATTTTACCTAAAAAAAATGTCAATTCGAGATCAAATCAACCCGACATTATATATATAATTTTTTAAGTTATAATTTTTTAAATATGTATTTACGTTGTATTATTTTTAAATTTATTTCATATACTTTTTCATTGTTTTAATCTTTTATTATAGTATTTCTAACTTCTGAGACTTGAATTTTGAATGGTCCAATAAAAGTTATCATCTACAGATATTAGTAACTCTAACAAAACTCAAATTAATATCAAATTGATACTACTGCTAAAAAAAGTTTGTTCAACACTAAGAATGATAATAATATTTGTTCTTTAATTTTGCACAAGTGAACGCATCCTCACTTCGTGAGATCATGCAAAATATAAATAATACACTTAATATTATTTAAATAGAAGAGGCATTATGTATTTTAAATAGAAGAGGCATTATGTATTTAATAATGTCATTATCTTATTTTTTGTGTATGTGCACGTGTGTGCGTGTGCATATGCGTGCGTGTGAATTTTAGTTGAAAAATTGAATACTTTTTTAGGGTTTCTTCTGACATGGAAAACATTATTCTTTTTCCTTTCTAAAAATATGCAGTATAGTAATAATACATAAATAGGAATTTAACAATTGTAATAATACCTCAATCTTGAATTAGTTGGATTTTGCATATAAAATCTCAACATCAATTTTATTCCGTCTCCACCATTTTTCTCAATACATAATAATTTGTAGTACACCTTCAAACAAAAAGAAGTCTTTTGAGAAACGAAACAATGAAGATGCCTTTGAAAGTTGATCTCCACTGCAACAACATTAAGGTGGAAAATGTTAATGCCGCATAACCGAATGGGGAAGAAGCTGCAGTTGTGGAGCACAAGAGAAACATCTCCGCAAAGGCGATGAAAACAATGAGAAGAAGAGGCGGAGAGCACAAGTCAGAAAACCCTATCATTTAGGGTTCTTTTATATTCACCTGGTCTGACCACTTATGGGCGACCAACTCTTTTTTGATATATTTATGCGTGGATCCGTTTAGAAGCCCATCTTTTATTAAATAAACCATGAGTCCAGATTTAAACTTAAAAAAAAGGGATCTCTCTAGTTTTCAAAGTTAATTGTGGCTTTCGGTCCATTCCACAACCTAACTTGATTGGTTTGGTTTGACCTAAAAAAATGTGAATTCGAGATCAAATCAACCCGACATGAAATATATAATTTTTAAAATTATAACTTTTTATATATAAAAGCATTTAGTTTGTATAATTTTTAAAAATATTTCATATACTTTTTCATAAATAAATAACATAAATATACAATTTTCAAAGAAAAAAAAAAGCAACAAAAGAAGAAGAAATAAATAAATATACTTTGAAGAATTGATTAGATATATTGAGTTTGTTTATTATCATTAATATACTTTTATTGTAATTAAGTGATGGTTACAATTAAATAGCGTGCAATATTTTAATCGTGGACGTATTTATCCATACAATACATATTTGACTACATATACATACATCATCTTCTTATATTAGATTTTTGTGATAAGTCTAGCACTAATTTAGGTACTATAAATATTTTCTTTGAAAGTTGAACTGAAGTTTAATATAAGATATTATACTGATAAGAACACATACTACACTTGATCATACATTTTCAATTTATTGATATAAAACATTTTAGGAGTGCTGCCTTGTAGCTACGTACAAGAAGATAAAACATACTTCCTTTGTTCCTTTTTATATGTCATCCTTATACCCTTATGAGTTATTAGTCTTGAAAATATTTCTTTGACCAACATAGAAAACTAATATGGGGTGAATAGGGATAGAATAGTAAATTTTTTCACGTAAAGTGATGAAATATAAATAAAAACGAAAGAAGTATTATAATATCTCTAAGCACAGTGGTCTAGTGGGTGGGAGTGCCATGAAGATAATTGTGCAAATGTGAAAACTTTGGGTGTTCACCATGTCTGACTGATATTAGATGACAAAAATAGCACATCTGAGCCACTCCTTTTTCCATTATTATTTTCAATATCGTTAGAGATTACAAACATAGGAATCGAATTAAAATGTCGTTAGAGATTACAACATGAGAATCGAATTATCATACTTTTTGGGGTCACCATTTAACATTAGTCTCAAGATTTTATGAGTTATAGCTACTTATATAGTTAGTATCTGATTTCAATTCAAATGTTCATTGAAAGGGACAAATTGTATGCTTTTATGAAACAAAATGCTTTTAGAACTAAAATTGGTGGGGTGAGCCTGGCCAAGGCAGTAGTGCAACACCAAGGCGACTCTTGAAGGTCCCGATAGCAAGCTATCGTGGTGAACCTTCCCCCTAAAAAAATAGAGTTAATATCGTGTGAGTCGATGACTCACATATCAGATATTAAACTGATAAGAACAGATACTACACTTGATCTTAGCTAAAAGGCCGAGAAAGGTATGATTTTCCATGACTTATGCCGCACTATTTTATTTGTTACTTGGTTACATATAATCTCTCTTTGCAGTCAATGTGGGACTTGAATAGACTCTATACTTTTATATATAACTAATAATTCAATCCCATTAATAGTCTATAGTATATTTTTTTTATCAAAATGCAGTAAATGAATTTTTTGTTCTGTTAACGTATTGATGGCTGCAAAATAGTTTCAACAAAGAAGTTATTTTTCCGACCCCACCGAGGAGTATCAATATTAATGTCACTTACCCTCGAATCGAAGATGCTCAACCACTTGAGCAAGCATCATTTAGTCATTTATATATCCTACAACAGGTTAATAAATTATACAGATAACATAACAAGTTTACTGAGATTCATTGTCTATTCCTAAGGTTCATTAATCCAAAATAAGATGGAAAAAACAACAAATGTAAAATACCAATTTGTTGCCTACATAACATTTTCCACACGTAATGTATCGATTTTGCGTTAAAAGTTAATTCAACAAAAAAACCTACGTACTAATATATTTTCCCTGGATCTGAACGAAATTCCTTGAACAAACAATTGAAAGAAAGGTTACGACGGGGTGTGCTTGGCTTAATGGTCCCGACAACAAGCTACTGTGATGGACCTTCCCCTTATATAATCCGTTGTTGTGAACAATATTGAAAAACTAATAAGGAACACATATATTATTTTTTCAAAGATTTGTCAATTTATAACACAAATTGAATCTTTTGGTTATCTAGAGATTTGAGAATGTTGAGTATGACGTTATACTTTCAAAAAAAATTGATAAGTGATAAGGTAAAGAAAGCTTTACAATTATTTTAATGGGGTGCGCTAATTCTTTTTACTAGCTACGTTTCTTTCTTCCTCACGTGAAGCTATATCTCCTGCTTCAACAATAAATATGTGTTTTACTTCACATTTTCTCATTCATCTTCTACTTTTCTATTTTGATTTTCAAACATGTCTCAACAATCTGGAAAGTTTGTATATTCAATTGAACCAGATGTTTATAAATGCAAATAGTATTGTAAAATGAAAACATCGAGGACCATAAGAAATCTTGATCGCAAGTTTTGGAGTTGCGTACGTTCAAAGGTAAAAAAAATAAATTAAGTTGTTCATTTCAAAATATTTGGTATTCGGTTGTTTCTTGTTTTGTTATATTTCAGGAAAATGATGGATGCAATTATTTTTGTGAATAGGAACATGTTCATAAAAAAAAAGAAAAGAAACGTAGATGGTCTGCTTTGTCTTAGTTAGTCGATCTTTTTCTTAAAAAATAAAATAAATTAGAGTGCGCTCATAACTAAACGAATCACAATATTTTTTTAAAAAAAAATAATTGGAGTTTGCCTCATTAAAAACGAACCCTAATAAAATTTATAACAAAAATTGTGGCTTAGACGTTCATGAAATGCAATTGGACATATATATAATTTTTTTAAAAATGTGACATCTCCGTAATTTTTCATATATAATGATGCTCTTAGATCTAACGAAAAATTCATACAAATAAATTTAAAGAATAAAAAAAATTGCTCTTATTTCCATTGGGTGATTGAGTCATATTGGCCACCTTTTCCATCCAATTTTGGTTGTAATACTCAATATTCACTACTATTATTATATTATTATTATATTGATAAGAATAGATACTAAACTTAATCTTACGTTTCAATTTATTGATATCATATATTTTAGGGGTAGTACTTTGCCAGTAATTATATAAAATGGTATTCTTACAACATCTTGCACCAGGTCTAGTGGTAGAATAGTAACCTGCCACGGTACAGACCCGAGTTTGATTCCCGGCTGGTGCATTATTCTAGAGCTGTGAAGATAAATTTGCGTAGTCTGATAATAAACGACAAAACATCGTTGGGAGATCGAACTCATAAACTCACCATTTATTTATCTTTAGTACAATAGTGTACAATATACTACTATAAAAAAAGATGCCAAATGCTAGGTTGATAGTCTAACTCTAAATACTTTATAAGTTAGTAGCTAATATTAGTTCATTTCTGATTTTAATTAAAATGTTCAACTTGTAATGACATAGAAAGCTCTTAGCCCAAAATTATGTAATGCTGTGAAATCAAAGGTTTTTTTGAAGTAGAATTGGTGGGGTGAGCCAGGCCAAGGCAGCAGTGCAACACCAAGACGACACTTGAAGGTCCCGATAGCAAGCTATCGTGATGAACCTTCCCCCTAGAAAAATAAAGTTAATATCGTGTGAGTCAATGACTCACATATCAGATATTAAACTGATAAGAACAGATACTACACTTGATCTTAGCCAAAAGGCCGAGAAAGGTATGGGTTTCCATGTGTTATACCGGGCTATTTCATATATCACTTGTTAAATTAAATTTCTCTTTCTAAGCAATGTGGGATAAAAGTGTGTGCCTGGCCAATTAGAAGGACTCTAAGAAGTTCATATATCAAAATTAAGGTCATTGAAACAAAGTTTTTGATTTATTTTTTGATTCGTCGAAGGATTTTATTTATTAATTGATAAAAATTATCGGTGATTAAGTTCAATATCTTCTAACACGAAAAGTATTTCATTAGGTTATCCAATGTCTACATGGTTAGTAGAGTTTCATGATTGTGGAATGGACCGAAAATCATAATCGATATTGAAAACCACCAATATATCTAGTTTGTTTAATTGTACAAATAAAATTGATGTTGAGAATTTACACGTGAAACCCAACTAATTCAGGATTGAGACATCATTGCAATTGTTGAAATGCTATTTTTGTATTGTACTAATCTTATCTGCATCAATTTCAAGATCTAATAGGATATCAGTAAAATTACATGTGGAAGAGAATTTAGTTTCCTTTGTTCTAGTCTGGACTTAAGTCTGGAACCTTCTATCTCACGAGGCAATAACTAGAGTTTTGAAAGATGGGGGCATAAGACGAAACGTTTTATGTAGTACGGGATGAGGCGTAAGTCCTGAGACATGGGGAGTAATGTCATGAATCTACGGGGCATAATCTCATGTATATTTAATTTTATAATTTTATTACTAAGAAAATAATCAAAAGTAAAATTAAACTTTCAATGATTTTACAAGTAATTTTTTTATAATAATATATAGGAAAATTGTTATGATTTTTATTTGAGATAGATACTAATAACCAATAATAAAGAAAAAAAGTATTATAATTACTATTTGAGAAATATCACTACACCAATAATTACAAAAAGAAAATTGATTTAAAGCAAAAAAAAAGATTTAAAAAAAATACTTAAGAAACACTTAGGGCACACATTTTTACACCCATAACTTATTGTTTTATGCTTAGTGTTTATGCCCTAAAATCTAGGACTTATCAATTTGTGGCCGAAGCATTTTTGGTATGGCTGCCCTAAGACTTGCCCAAAAAATATTTTTGAAAACACTGGGTTACAACTCTTTAGATTGTAAAAGTTTAACTAATGATGGTAATAATATTGATATTTAGTTTCATTCTTTTTTTTTCTCTACCATTTCATATTGTGATGATATCAATATACTTTCATTTTTTCCTTAAACAAATATTAATTAAATTTTGATTGATGAAACTTATGATTAAGGGGGCAAGTGTCATTTGTTTGGTGGATGTCACGTAACCATGAATAAAAAAACGTACATTTGGACCCATTTGGTAAAAGGTGATGAAGAGATGTTGGACTCAACTATTAAATCGACTTTCACTAAATTTCAATAAATCACCTTAGTTGAAGTTTAGATATATTAGAGATATAATTAGAAGCCAGACTTGTCAAGGAGCATATTTATGTTGAGTGAGATTCATAGTATTATTGCTCTTGATCTCTTTGACCAGTTGGAGATCAGAAGGCTCGCACTTAATGCAGAAGAGCAACTAAAGATTAGGAGAAGAGTATTGTTTGATTCGGTAGTTGAATGCCAGGAATTTAGTTAATTGTAACAGTGTTTGGCAGAGGTTTTGATGCTTGGGCAAAGTGGACAACCACTTCTTCCTTTTGATCAATGTTGTCCATTTTGCCCAAGCTTCAAAATTTCTGCCAAAACTCTATTTACATTCGAGACATTTAACCACCTAATCAATCGACACTTTTCTCCTAATCTTCACTTGATCTTTTATATTTTTGTTAATTCAAGCCTTCTAAATTTTAAGTGGTAAAGGAGATCAAGAGCAATAATACTCTGAGCCTAACTCTACATAAATTCTGTCATTACCAAGTCTAAGCTTTTAATATATCTAAAAATTCAATAAGGTGATTATTAATATTTGTCTAAGTCAATGTAGTAGTTAAATAATTTTCACTAGGATTAGTGATAGAAACGGAATCGGTTGAATCTCACAACTCTGTGTAACTTTCCACCAAATAGGTCCTCATGTAGGTTTTCCAATTTATAATTTCGTAATATTCGCCAAACAAACAGATGATACTTTGCTCCCTGAATCTTAAGTTTCATTAGTCAAGATTTAATTGATATATATATATATATATATATATATATATATATATATATATATATATTAGTTTTTTA